CTACTCTCTCTCTCTCTCTCTCTCTCTCTCTCTCTCTCTCTCTCTCTCTCTCTCACTCTCTCTCTCTCTCTCTCTCTCTCTCTGTCTCTCTCTCTCTCTCTCTCTGTCTGTCTGTCTCTCTCTCTCTCTCTCTCTCTCTCTGTCTTTCTCTCTCTCTGATTCCTGGCAATTAAGTGTTTGTCCATTCTCTTTTATTGTGTCTTCTTGGTGGCCTATTGGAATATGTATATGAGAAACCCATTCTAAAATGTGTTCTGAAAATTTTTTCTGTATAATTTCGAGGACTATCAAGCTGCCTTAAATCTATGACACCCACACACCCTTTCCTGCTTGTGTGCATACTTCCCAGGTTTGCATGCAGGCAGGCGCATTACTGGTTGCACCTGCATAAAAAAGTTACCTGCAATGCACCTATCCTTGTTTGTAGACAGACATGTCTATCTGACTTGTATTGCATACATAACTTGTTCGTATATCAAAATGTATTCAATGCTTATTTCCAACCAAGGGATTGCCATGTTGAAATAATTGTATATTTGGGAGAGTTCTTGTGCTTGGTATGTTATTTTTCCATAACTAGGTTGAATGTTACTTGTAGACTGTAGTTGTTTAATCAATCTGTCGATATGCATTCTTAGTTGCCGTTGGTGGAAAGTAGCGCTTTTCAGACTTATCAAAGAAAAGAATGATCAAGCTTTTTGGTTGCAGGTTGAATGTTCTCTGATGGCTGACATGGCTAAAGAGATTGTGCAAGTTAATGGATATGCTGATGGTGGGTATCCTCCTCTAAAAGTCAAAATTGATTATGTCTGCTTCTGAGGTCTCATATTATTATCGCCTTATAACATTTATTGACATTAGCTTATATTTTTTGATTCAGTCATAACGGTTTTAAAGGGAAAGGTGGAAGAGATTGTGCTGCCAGTTCCCCATGTGGATATCATCATATCAGAGTGGATGGGTTATTTTTTACTCTTTGAAAATATGTTGAACACTGTTTTGTATGCACGGGATAAATGGCTTGTAAGTGCCTTGTATTCTTGCCAAGAACAATTCAAAGTCATGTTATTGTTATATGTATTATTTCTGTATTAGATGTTCTGTTTCCGTGTACTAATTTGTTTTTTCTATAAATTATTCGTTATCTATCTGTATTTTGATGCTTGTGTTGTAGTTCGTAATTAAAGTGAATGGTGCAATAAGTATCATGGCTGTTGTGGTAATGCATCTTGCTCTGCGGATAACTAAAAAAAAAGAAACTTCAAGGGTGCATATAAGTCCAACTCAATCCATAGGGAAAGGTTTCAAGTTTTAGCCGCTTAAAATGGCACTCTTCTAGTCTTCTTCAAATCCTTGAAAATCTATCTTGAAAGATCTGATGAGCTGATTTGAGTTGGTCTTACTAAAAACAGTGTATAATTTGTTGAATTGTGTTAGATGCAAATCAATCCACTCTAAGGGGAATAGGAATCTGAACTTAGTGATTGGCACACATGTAACAAAGTTCATCAATTATTTCTGATGACATATTTTTATTGTCATCAGTCGTAAATGTATTACTTCGGTTGACAAGAAATAAAAAATTTAGAAAAAAGCAAGTTGTTACTCATTTAAGATTAAAGGATCATAAGTTTTATGTTTTTCCCATATAAATAACAATTTATGCCTGAAAATTAAAAGACAATTCCATTAGGTGAAGTTGAGCTAGAAGATCAACAACAGTTCCCCCTATAACATTTCAACTTTAGAGCCCCAAATTGTTTGGGTCTGCATTGTCAATATTCACAATAGTTACTTTTCTGTTTTTGGAATTTATCATGATTCAGCATACTCATCCCAGGTATCCTTGATGCACTTTCTCATGGCTGATAGACAAGTTGGTTATTTATCAATTTAGAACTGGTGCTTCTTATTTTTTAAGTATGCAGTATTATTTGTAATCTATTCTGAATATGGACCTCAAATGTTTGCAGATTACTGATGGCATTGTGCTGCCAGACAAAGCTTCTCTATATTTGACAGCTATTGAGGATTCTGAATATAAAGAAGACAAGATAGAGTGTGAGCATACTTTGTCCTAATTGCTTTTGGTGAATTATGGACCGAAACATTTCTTACAGAGACAAAAATTTAACTGCATCATCTTTTACTGAATATGTGCTGTTTAGTCTGGAACAATGTGTATGGTTTCAACATGAGCTGTATCAAGAAGCAATCCATGATGGAGCCTCTTATCGACACAGTTGATCAGAACCAAATTGTTACAAACTGCCATTTGCTTAAGGTATGTATTCTAAATTCTGATGCGCTCTGCATGTAATCCACTGGGTCATCACTTGCTGATGAAACAGTGGGCAGTGATGGAAAGAGATTGGGGCACACCATTTGGGCCATGTCCTGGCTCTCTCATCACTGTGCATCGTTTCTTTGGAATGTACTGCCCCTAGTAGACTGAGTATAACATAGTCTATTGAATTGGGAAATATGCTTTGATCCTTAAAACCATATTCAGTTGGTCTATGCTTTGTGTAGAATATCAGTATTCTTATGTTCATAATTGTCATATTCTGCTGATTCTAAAAAAGTTATGCATATGTTAATTGTTAAATGTGACTGTTATTTTTAATCTCTGCTGTTAGACAATGGATATATCCAATATGACATCGGGTGACGCTGCCTTCACTGCTCCTTTTAAGCTTGTGGCAGAGCGCAATGATTACATCCATGCTCTTGTAGCGTACTTCGACGTCTCATTCACCAAGTGTCACAAGTTCATGGGCTTTTCCACTGGTAATGGCTTCCTTTTTCCTTTTTTTTTTTGACATCTGTAAGATGTTTTGCATAAAAAGAGCCTTGAAGTTTTAGAAGACTGGTAGACGGGAATAAAGAGAAAAAGGAAAAGGGTAAATGGTTTCAGTAAAAGATGATGGGAAAACTAATGCTGGCTGACAACAAATCTACAACATGTGCTTTCTGAAAGCACAAAGAAATTTCTGTTCAACCATATGATTTGATTTACTTTTGGGGAAGATTCGGCGTGTTATATAGCGCATCTTTCTTTAATATTTTTTTATTTTGTATTGTTGTGTTGGGTCATGTTTTTCCTTACCTAATTGTATGTATAGATCATATTTGTCCTTTTATTGTTATGTAGGGCCTAGATCAAGGGGAACGCATTGGAAACAGACTGTTCTATACCTCGAAGATGTGTTGACAATTTGTGAAGGGGAAGAGTTAGTTGGGAGCATGACTGTGTCACCCAATAAAAAGAACGCACGAGATGTGGATATTGTGCTCCAATATTCATTAACTGGCCAACGCTGCCGTGTCTCAAGAACTCAGCACTACAAGATGCGTTGATAGTGGTGGTAATCTTGATGCTGCTTGTCTTTAGGTACAACTCTATCAAACAACCACAACCCCCCCCTTTCCTTTTTTTATTTATTGCATTTGTACTCTAGAAATAGAGTAGAATGGTAGATCTAGATTCGTGTAGCTGACCTCAATTAATTGAGAAAAAGCTATGATGATAATGATTTGTACTGTAGAAACCTATTTATAATGGATTCATGTTATTGACTTTAAACTCTCACCTGGGGGTTGCTCAGGAATTGGATGTGTGCATTCGATTTGTTTGCTATTATTATTGGTCTGAAAAATTTTAAACCTGTTATATTCTAGATCATTCTTCCAAGTTCTAATTTTGTGTTGGCGATATCTCTAGTTTTATCAAACAAAGTTGTCATCTACAAACAACATACATTACGGAATCTCATCTTTTTGATGTTAGTTAAACTTTTCTATAACTAAAACAAAAAGATATGAGCTCATGACCTTTGATGCAGGTCTACCGCTACTAAAATTCACTTGTATCTTGAAGTGGTGCTGTTTATATTAGGCCGAGGCTCTAAACAAAGTAGATCTCACCTTCAAATATTGTCGAGAAATATGGTTTCAATACTGGAAATCTTTGTGATAACTTTAAAATTTGTTTTTATCTTTAATTATAAAATTTAAAGCTTCAAAAATAGTGTAGATCGATCGAGCATGTTTATGAATCTAAAAAAATCCTGAAAATTCACGGTTCAAAAATGCATTACAAGATGCACTACTGTCAAAACTTGAAATCCATTTTTTCTCTCGTGTCCATGCATCTTGAGGTTGAGATGATCAATTAAAAGATTTTTGGGCATCAAAACGTCTTCAAGTAAGATATTTGATATACACCATAATTTGATTGTTGAGAGCCTCGCACTTATATAATCTTTTTCCTTATTTAAAAATAGGAGAATCCAATACAAATATCAAAAAGTTAATTTACAACATTTAAATAGATTAAATTACTTCCAAAACTTTTAAAGTTATTTTGATCTATTCAGTTTTTGTAAATTATTTTTTTAATGTTTTTATTAGATGTACCTTGATGAAAAGAGTAGATGCTTTATATTTCATGTGATTTGAATCTGTGTGACCATCAAATCGGTTAAGATTCAATCTAGGCCATTGGATTTACACTTATGGGATGATATGATCTTTTTTTATATATATTAAATAACAATATTACCATTAAAATATATGTAGTTGGTCTCTAGTCATAATTTATATTTAATGAAAATGCCCCAAATGATTTCGTTGAAATAAGCATTAATTTTTAACACATTCTAGAGAGAGAAGGTATGTAAATCAAAATTTGATTAAACATATATATTCAACATAAGATTTGAAGTATTTAATTTACTTGTATTATAGATGGCTTATTTCCAAGAAATGATTTCGATTAGAGAGATACGAACGTAAGTTCTGAGCAAAAAGAACTACGACCTGCCCTTTATAATGCTTTCGTTACAAAAAAAAAAAAAGAAGGCCGTTTTAGAAAATATAATGCCTTCCGGAGACGTCTGATCTCGATTTAAAGTTGCTTCCACGACGGGAGCGTGACCTACAGTAGAAGCAACCCGCCAACGGCATGTGCATTTCAAGATGCTCTCAGCTAGTAATTTATGCCAAAGGTACAAAACTACTGGGGTTTCAAACAATCATACAATGATTTAATAAAATCATGTTTATAGCATTTTTGTGATTCAAAATTTGACGCCCACTCTTTTTTCATGTCAATAATCAATCCCAAAAAAAAAAGAAAAAATTTTATGGTCAAAATGAGCTCCCTCTAACAACAAATCTAGACCATTCACTTGGTGAATTTAAAGATCTTAATCTTTTCTAGCTCAAAATCGTTTTTTTTCTGTTTTAATATTGTTAATCTGATTATAATAGAGCCATCTAGAAAAATTTTAAAAAATGAAATTCTTTTGAAGCGTAGATCTAAGCATCTTATACAAATGGACGGCCTATGTTATTGGGCTAAAAAAATACTTTCTAAGTTGCATTTTCAAAATTTTTTTTTTTTGTGATTGCTCATTGAAATTAAAAAAAAATATATTTTAAAATTTATATCAAACAAATGGTTCCAACATAGTTTTTAAAGATTATTGCATTATATTATTATACAACCATTGCATAAAATCACTACCTCAAACAAATAATAGAAATATATGAAGAAATAGAGCTGAACCAAAAATTTCAACTATTATAAAGCAAATCCAATTGAAAAAAAAAGTAAAATAAAAAATAAAAAATCATTACCATCATCATCGTAGCTTTTTGGGAATGGTCTAAGAAAGGTAAGAACCTTAAACTTTCTCTTAACCTTATCCCAACCTGTCCCATGCATGGGTAGCATGAGTGAAAGACCTGAGTTGTCGTCGATAGGCAACCAATGTAAATTTTTACCAAAAGATATCATGAATCCTGAGTTTTAAAAGAAAAATATTGAACTGTATTTGTTTTGGAAATTTGGTAAGATCGTAAAATATCATAAAAAAGAATAGTGAACATATGCGTGACTCAGGTAATTTATAAGGTTGTTGAATCCTAGCAAAGGATACAACTTATCGAAATCCCTTGTATACAGATTCCAATTAAAACCATCTCTAATTAAATTCCAGCCTCCTCCGTGCATATACATGATTAATTGAAATTTAGAAGGAAAATTTAAAAAGAAATAAAAAAAGTGGTGATGCTCCTCTATTTTAAGATATAAAAATCTTGGAGATTTGGGAGGGACAACCCGGTACCTGATGAGAGATTGCGACGAGTTTTAAAATTCTGTAAAAATAAGGAAATTCAATTTGGAGAGTTCATTCTCAGAGAAAAAGAAAGATTGCAGAGAGCTCATCCAGAAATGAAACTACTTGATTTTCTCAAAAGACTGGACATTTCAGTAACCCATCAAACTTGGTAGGAAAAGGAACTATGAATTACACAATTATTTTAACTTTTTCTTAGAAAATAGGAACGCTTGAGCAATTTTAAACCAATGCTCCAATGTTTCCTCCCCCATTACAGATTGAGCAATTGAAAAAGAGAAGGTACTGTGAAAGAGATGATGTGATCTAGAATGAGTACCAGGATGGATGGGAACTTGGATGGCATGAAGAATCAGAATATATATAAGAAAATGTCGCCCCTCTTTTTCTTTTTAGTGAATACCCTATTATGTAGCACGTCAAGCCCCTATAGTAGGATGTCATTTTGGTCCGTGGTTCGATCTAGCAACACATTCAATTAGTGGCACTGGACTGGTTCGGCTGGGCTTTCCCAGTGTCCTTTCGCTGTGGGTGCTAGCTACTGGCTGTCACCTACCACTTAATTCCCCAATGCTGGAGAATGAAAAAAAAAAAAGGGTAAGGGATTTGGGCATCTACCCTTTGGTGAGAACGGAGTCGAGAGACTTCATCATAGGGCTCATTGGTACTACTGTGAAAGCCCCAACTCATTCTCAACGCTGGAGAAGGGAAGTTAAGCAATACTTCCACACTGTCAAAATGCTCGAATCTACAAAATGAAGGTATCAAAACGCAGAAAAATTGATAGATGCCGATACTCAGAGATTGTGAACGCTGGTAACTAGAGAGTAGATTTTCAAGAAACCCCCAAATAATTGAAATTCATAATACAAATTTTGCTGAAGTGCTAGGAGACAACCCAAATACAAACACCTTGAGAAATGATCTTCAATTGCTCTATAAAGAGTTATAAGCCTGATATGCTAGCACATGGAGAGAGAAACTATGGCAGACATTCACAAAAATATATCATAAAAGGAAATCACAGAAGATAGGCAACCTGTGATACATTAATCATTAAACAGGTTTGATCTGCATATAAACTTCTGTATCTTTTGACTACAGTAGGATAACAAAACTTTCTCATGGAATTGCACAAAAAGAAAGAAAAGAAAAAAGAATGAAAAAGCTCTACTTGCCAGAATAAATCAGTGATGCTCATGCAAGTTTTAAAGCTCCGCATTTTTGGTGGGCTTCGAAGGCTTCTGGCCTGATTTTGTCCTCCACCATTTCTTTACATGATGAGCAGCTTTGTTGATATGCTTTTTTATTGCTGCCGCAGTACCTTTGATTTTGTTCACAATCCTTTCTTTCCAATCGCCTTTCTTGGATTCTTTATCTCTCAAAACCTTCCCCTGCAGATTATCAAGAACAGACCCAATTAAAGATGTTCCACATGCAAATAGAAATACAAGTATCTAACTTTGCTTAGTTTCCACTGCAAATGAACGCATGGCAGTGGATACTAAATGTCATTTCCTGCTTCATTTTTAATTTGCACCAGGGTCAGAACCAAATTTCAGTGACATTACAAGAGATTAAATCATGGTAACTATGCAAGACATGGAATAGTTCAAAAAAGTCGTTTTATTGCCTTTGGTCTATCAGAAAATCAACATTTTAACCTAGGTAGAATATGTGCTTACCAATTTCGAAGGGAATTCATTCTCCTCATCTTCGTCCTCATCCCCTTCATCATCACCAAAGTTTTTCATATTCAATAGGTCATCTTTTGAGTACATCTGCATGTTTGGTGCTCCAGGCATGCCCTAACAAAGAAAAAGTTTCAGAGGATGCAAAAAAAGTAAGTTGGTGAAACATATATGGTAACCACCAACCAACTTCAAGCAAACTCACTTCCATGGATCTCAAAAGCCTTTCCATCTCTGCGTCTTTAGATGACTTGGGAAAAAAAGGTTCTCCTGGAACTCTATCCTGTAAATCATACATGGTTTCTAAGTTTGACAATAGATGGTGAAAACCATGGTCAACTAAACATCTAAACAAACTGCAACTGGAAAAAAGCAAGCAATCCAATGGCTGCTATCGTTCCCCCAGTGGTTGAAGTGAGTCTCCAGCTTTTGCTAGAACCATACAAATGCTACAACTTAAGAGAGCATGATAATTATCATAACTTTATAACATAAAAGCAAAGAATAAATGTTTCATGCGGGCTGGACCGCATTTCTACAATATGCGGTCCAGAGGTATAAAGCATCCATCTTAAAGATGGATGCAAATAGGTGGTCCACCTAAAAACAATTGTAACTAACGGTTCAAACGTTTTCTTAATATAATTAGTATTTCTATTTTTCAAAATTTATTTATTTTTCATATTCATGATCTCCATGTTAAAGATTATATATTCTCTAAAAATTAGGATGAAATTATATTTCAAAAATACATATATTGCCAAGCCCGTATTTCTACAATATGCGGTCTGGCCGCATGCTAACCACGTCCAAAAGCAAATTCTATCGCTAAATTTGATTTCGGATTCCAACTATGACCAACCAAAGAAACACAAAAACTATTGCCTCAGATGAAAAGGAAAGCAAGATATATCCATAACTTCATTACAGCACTGTCAGATGAATCAGAGCGAGCATCAAGTCCGAATTTTGAGGGTTGGTAGAAAAACTTAAATGAGTTTTGAACATGCTCCTGGGCTAAATAGTCGGACTTTGGTCGCCTTCAAGAAACTCTTCTACTGGAATTTACACATAGGATTGACCACAGTATCCTAGTGGGATGGATCCTCTATCTTAAGGGTCAAATTTCGAGAGTTTTGAATTCTAGCTTACCAAAATGAAGGGAAAATGTTTTAGATTAAAATCTGGCAGGTAGTATGATTACTTTGGAGATACTTTTGAAGCAGTTTCTCAAAGAATCCAAACCATAAAGGGGAAAAACAAAAAAAAACATAGATTGTCTGGAACAGAAATGCTAGCCAGATACCATGGTAAAATTTTTATTATGTTTCCAGAAGGAGTATTTTTTCTTTTCTGCAGGTCTGACTCATTAATGCTTTGACATAGTCTAAGGAATCGATCAAACAACTAGAGATGAGAATCAAACCCTCAAATTCATCACAGATTCATTAAAGCACTTGAAAATCATAGAAATGTACTAGCCTTAGGAACTGGAGGGGGCTTGGCAGAGCATGCTTTACTGAGATCTTTACAAAGAAAATTTGTCAAAGTATCAATCTGCGGCTTGGTTTTGAACAAAAACTCGGCGACATCAGTGTCAGTATACCCCATGATCTGCATAATTGTGATAATAAGATATCTATGAATAACAGATAACACCACAAATGTAGCTCAATTTGATAATGTAATAACAAGGGAATTACAAGAAAAGCAAAAGATCAGGCATACAGTCATTCATGTCTGCTAGGAAAAATAACACATGGAATTTTCCAAAGATTAGAGAAGTGCGTATTAACTAATTCCATAACATATGCAATCAAATCAACATGTGCAGCATCACTCAATGCAAAACAGATGCTACATAAACATGGAGTATATACTCCATGATGGCAACCATTCATTGCAAGCATAATTTTGCAACCACTTGGATACAAGATGCCTCACCTAGGAAAATAGATCTGGCTTGCAGCACCTTCAAAATAAAGCTGCTGGCATCAAGACACCCCCATATAGACACCAAGGGAATTCTAATGCTAAGTATTTCTGGCACTGCATATTAAGACAGTCATATTCACCAATTGCCTTAGTGTGCATGTTTGTGGTTGGGTGGGCAAGAGTGCTTGTGGGTGTGTGTGTTCATGCGTGTGCGTTCGATATCCTATCACAATGAGCTTGAGGTCCATGTGGTTTCTCTAATCAATTTCCTGAAGCAAACTTTGCTTCCTTAACTGCACAAGTCCCTATTCCATTTTTGATGGAAAACCAGCATCAGCCCCAGATCTAGTTAACTGCGTTAAACCAGCCCTCCTTACCTATTGCTGAAAATCAGCCATTTCCCTTTTTCTCTCGGAGTTACTTATGAGTGGAATAATTACACCACAGGAAGAATCTGTATGGCTGGCAAGGCAGCAACCTAGTACGATCTATACATCGAATTAAGAAAAGCAATTGACACTATAATAACAGAATCACAAGGTGGAACATGCCATCTGTGAGAAGCAACCAATATATACAATGGTTTTAACTATCTGAAAAGATCTTAATGTACACATGAAGGGTGCGGTTTGTATAAAGCCGAGGCTCTAGACAAATGTGGTTTCAATACTGGAAATCTTTGTGATAGCATTAAAATATATTTTCATCTCTAATTGTAAAATTTAAAGCTTAAAAAATAGCGCAGATCGAATAAATCTATGAAAACTTGAAATTTTTTAAAATTGACGGTCCAAAAATGCATGACAAGATACACTATTCCCAAAACTTGAAATCCATATTTTTCTCATGTGCATGCATCTTGAAGATGAGATGATCAATTTGAGGATATTTGGGCATCAAAACAACCCTCTTCTAATGAAATTTTTAAGGTGCGCCCCAGTTTGATTGTTTAGAGCCTCGCACTTATATAAACTTTTTCCATACATGAATCCTTACATGCACAAAACATGCAAATATAAGGGCAATGCATACATATAAACAAGCATAGATAAGGGCCTGGTAAATAGGAAACACTTATTGAAAACATCCAGAGAAGAATTACTAAACTAACAGTAACAGAAACAAAATTCCTTTTCCAGAAGAACACCAATCAAGGTGGCTCTCATTTAAATCCTGCACATACACAAGCACAAGTCACCAGCATCGCGCTCTCCTTGAAAATCTATTGGGGAGAAAGATGTAATTATATAAAATACCAGGTTTTTAATACAGATTCTGTAGTCAGCCCACAATCCAAAGTTTTCTTTTTGAGAAATTAAACATAACACAGAAGATGTATGTGAGGTAAGAGAAAAAAAAATTTGTTTCTTGCAATATGGAAATTGAAAAAGATTCATATGATAGCTATTTTCAAAATACCTACCTCCTGACAGGTGCGTTCAATAGTCTTACATTTCGAATTACATTGCCCTTCAGTCTCTTGATCAACAAGCTAAGTGGAAAAAATCATTATCAGAACATGCTTATAAGTTCAACCTAATAGTGAATACAAATTTGCAAATAAACTTCTTCATACAACACAACCAAAAGAGAACATCACAAAGGAACTAACTAGAAACAACAGCATTTCAATTTGTACAAATAATTGACTGGCATTTAGATGAAACTATAAAAATGAGTATCACATGCATTTCTGCGTTTCCAAGCCTTAATTTACATCTGCACTAACCTAAACATAAGATGGTAGCCTCTGTGAGTCAAAGATCTACAAGCACATCCTAGGACAAGCAGGCAGCTCGTTACAGTTAACTTCAAAAGTCACACACAGTTTATAGCTTGCAGATGAACAAGGACAATTGCATTTAATCTGAAGGTGTAACAGTAAATTCTTAGAATATATTTGGTTTTTCTTCAAGATTGGATGAAAAATACAGTTATCACTGTACCTAGTATCCATTGTTTCTGATTGATTAAACAATTTTGCTCAAACAGTATCAATACCAAGCAACTGTTTATTACGTAATAATTCTCCATGAAAAAGAAAAAAAAACAAACGAAACACGCTAGGCAGTTAATGCTCTTTCACAACGTGAGACTCATTCTCAATGATAACTACTGATAAGAATGTCCTTGGCAGATAAACATATAAAATTTAGGGGTCAATGGATGCAAGATATTTTAGTTCGCAAGAGGCGTACAATAAATGTTACTTCAAACCAAGGTTGAAAAAAACAGATCGGTGACTCGAATCGGTCACAGCCATACCCGTGTTGGATAGATGGTCAGATCGGAGAATTGGACGAATTGACAATTTTTGTTCCAATTTTTTTTTCAAAAAATCACTATAAATCTCTAAAAATAGTGTTCTTTTAATTTCAAAAAGAAATTAGGAGTGGTGCATTGTATACTTTCATTACTTTGTAAAAATAGGTGAATACTGAGAAGTTGTTTTCCTGTCTGGATATCTATATAATTATTAATTATAATATATTATTACAACATTGAATCAAAATAATTTAAAAATAGTACCAAACACTTCCATATTATAATTTTAAAAATAATAATTTCCCATATAAAGTTAAATTAGTATCATATAAAAGTATCCAACATTTATTAGTTTGCTTTACTCATCCAAAATTGTTACAACGTAACAAACTATAATATTATATACTAAAATTGAAATTGTTGGTTTATATTTTATAGTTATTTTAATATACAAATAAGAACAAATCTAAAATGTCTTGTAATATCGTATAAATTAAAAAATCTCATTTACAACAATAAGAAAAAATAATATATTACATAATTTATAATACAAATAAATTAATAAATAAAATACAAAATTTGGTTATCAATGTATAATTATTAATTATAATAATATGATAAATATTATTAAAAATTATTAGAAAACACTTCCATATCATATGATTAAAAACAAAAATAAAAACCCCTTATAAATTTCAATGTTATTACATTAAATAAAGTGGCTGAGGTTTTTTGTTTTTTTTTGACAAAGATGTAGTACCTACAAAACCTCCTAAATAAAATTTTGAAGTCGTGAGGATTGGATCCCTCAACC